AAAACAAATAAACATGTCCATCAGTTAAATGCTTTGGTTTTTGTAGTTAGTGGTAAGTAGGATTGATTACAGTTATGCTGTTTCCATGTTTGCCTTGTGGTTGGTGTGCTCATTCCATTAGACAATGGGCAGTGGCTCTTGGGTGTTCATGTTAGTGTAGACCAAGAGCTGGATTCATAAATAAAACTCATTTTTTGTTGTCATTTTAAGGATTTCATCTTGAATCTTAAGCTGGCAAAGAGTGATCTAAATTACATTTCACTGGTTGCTCTTCCTAAGAATCAGACCTAACAGGAAATGCCCCTTCCTTGAGCTCTGAAAGGAGGCCAGTTGCAGAGCAGTGCTGTTGGGTTGAAGACCAGCCCTCCGGGATTAGCATAGAGGCCTCTGGGTTTCTGGCAGACAGCCTCCTTCAGGGCTGTGTGTATGGGACTGCTGCTTAAAGGCCGGGTCTGGTGCTTAATTGATTCCTGCAAAACATTCTGGAAGTTTTATTCTGAAACACAAAAAACAGTCTCACTGAAACTCACTTCTAGATGTAGACCAGAATTACACAGTTCTGGAATGTTTTTGCATGTTCTTTTGTTTATTTTTTTTCTTTGTATTAAAAGTTTAGAGTTGGGGTTGGTGAAATGGGTGAAGGTGGCCAGTCATAAGTAAGTCCAGGAATGTAAAGTCCTGGTAGTTCACCATACTGTGTTGTATATTGGAAAGTTGCTAACAGTAATCCTTAAAAGTTCTCATCACAAGGAAAAGAGGTTTGTGACTCTGTGAGGTGATAGGTGTTAACTAGGTTTTTTTGTGGTGATCATTTCAGTATTTATATATACACATATCAAATCATTATGTTGTACACTTGAAAATAATGCCATGTGTGTGTCTGTTACATCTGAATAAAACTGAAGAGAAAAAAAGAAAGTTCAGTCAACTTAATTACATCCATTGAGTGTCTTAGGCTGCATATTCTTTCTCCTGAGCATGTTGTTGATTCTTACCTTCATCACAGTTGTGTTAGGCCTGCGAGGTGTATCCGCCTATCACTAGTATTGATGTGTACAGTTTTCTCCTAACACTGAAGTTTATAAAATAGTGACAGTATGTAATGCTCAACTCAATTGCAGGAAAATGTCAGAGCTACAGAAATGAAGTGTTGGATTAATAGGCAGAGTAATGGCTTAAGACTTCATTTAGATGATGTGCTGGAGTCTCAAGTTAATGGACAAAAAAGTCTTGACTTTAAAAACGGCAAAAAGAGAAAAACAGTTCTGATGTCACCTAGCTGTTCATTTGAGTGGGGGATTTATCCTTGTGACCTTCATTTACTGAGGGACCGTAGCCTCCCATCATGTCTGAAGCACAGAGTGGAATCCAAGCCCTTGGTTGTTTCGCTTCCCTGGGGCACATTTTCCAAGCCTTGCTCTAGGTTGGTGGTTTCTTCTTCCTAGTGACTCCCAGCAGTTTGGGTCATCTTGATATCGTTGTTTAAAAGATTTTGTTAAATAAACCAGCTCTAACAGTTTCAGAAAACATGACCAACTTTCCTTCCACATAGGCAAGCTGCACAGCTCTGAATGTAGGGGAGGGCTGTCCCTTGCTTATCCTGAAACTCTGAGGCTTGTTAGGAGATACAGCGGGCACAGGTAGAGGTCATGGATACATTTATTCCTCTTCAGTGGCTAAACCAGTTACTTTGGATTCATTTATTGGAGTGGAATGGGTGTAAACTCACAGCTCTGCACCGGCTTTGCCAGGGAAGCCTGTGGTTGGCCTAGGCCTAGGAGATCCTTGCATTCAAGAAAGTAACCAGCTAGTTGTGTCCCATTCTTTGCTGTAATGTCAAAATGCCACCCTATCATTGTTTTTGGTCCTAACCAGAAAAGGGAAAAAACTTGTTCTTAAGGGGCTGCCACTGCTTAGAGCTTTCTGTCTTCAGGGGGAGAGATGTGCTGCTGTTACAATTGCATCTTCTGGTGGGCAGGCGCAAAGGTGCACACTCAGGCGGGCACGAGGAAGGGCTCTTCTGAGAAAGTCAGGGTTTTCACTGCTCACAAATACCATCATTATGATGAACCTGAAAAACAGGTTTTGACCTGAGTGTGAGGGATCCTGGTGGAGGAAAGGGTGAAACAGGCCTAGGCTGGGTGTCCTGCAAGTTAGAACCTGTGCTGAGAGGCCCCAGAGCAACTCCAGTGGTCACTGTTGAACTTTTCCACAGAGACAGATACTGTGTTAGGTCAGAAGCTGCCAGGGTCCCTGAACCAGATGCAGGGTGGGTATAGATGCTTGTAGAGTGGGAGAGACCAAGTGCTATGTGTGGTGGCATCTTAAACCCTAGAAGTTGTGCTCATCCCCATCCAGGTTTGGCCACCAGATATGTGGCCCGCTTCCCCTTTGGGCATCCAGGACCTAGGTAAGTTGAAAAACCGTGTGTGGAGGGCCAGGACCACGTTGGTAATCAGGACTCAGCAGACTGCTGGGCCAATGCAGACACACTGGGCTCTGGGGGAACTGACAAGGGCATGACAGGAGGAGGAGGCTGGCAGACTGCTCAGGGTCACAGCTCTGCCCAATTGCATTCTGAGGCTGACATACAGATTGTGGGCCAGCTGCTGTGCCCAGTTTACCTAGACTGTTACATTAGTCCCATGTGGGGGTTGAGGAGAACGCAGATAACCTTTACATACCTTAGTGCCAAGGTTTTTGTGTCAGTTTGTATGAACAGTGTACTTTAATGCCTAAAACAAGCATAAACAGCAGTCTTCATCCTGCCTCCCAGGGACAGCCCCTTTCATGCCTCTCTGTTCTAAATGAGCATGCTGATACTGTTTCACAGTGTGTCAGCTTTGGAGGATGAGGGTTGGCCTTGATACCCCAAGTTCTGGCCTCGGCTTCTTGATACACAGCAGCAACAGGCACAGTGTCATGATTGAATAAATATTGCTCACTGCTGAGTCCAGTAGTGACTGGCTTATGTTTTTCCTCAGGAAGCCTTAAAATGACTTCTTTTCATTTTCATCCGTGTTTTTTTTTTTTCTGCATACCTGTCATTAGCTTTTTCCATTTCCCCTGGAATTGCCAAACCCCATGTTTAAACCACATAGGTAACATGTTCCTCTTTTCCTACGGCCCTCCTCCTGCTCCACCTGTGCTGGCTGCTGTTCAGGCCTGCCTGCCTCTGTTTCTCCTTACGTCACCTTGGGGGGCTCCCCTGGCCAGTGGCAGCAGCCACAAGAAGGCGTGTGTGAGGCCTTGCACTTCTGACCTTCTCTTTGTTCTGCCCTTTCTCTGAATCCATACTTTGGCTGGTGCAGAATAACAGGTTGAAAGCACTGTTTATGTCTCTCTTTTGGGGGAGCAGTTTTAGGTTAACCACCTAATTCAGGGAAAGGCACAGAGATTTCCTATACATACAGCGCCTTCCTCACTGTTCATATCCCCCACTAGCGTGGAGCATTTGTCACAATTGATGAACCTACATTGACACACCATCATCTAGGGCCCATAGTTTACCTTGCGGTTCTTGGTGTTGTGCATTTTGTAGGTTTGAACAAATGGATAATGACATGTATCTACCATTGCAGTGCCATGTAGAATAGTTTCACTGCCCTAAAAATCTATGCTCTACCTATTCATCCTTCCCTTCCTCCTAACCCCTCACAGCCACTGAAAGGATTTTTTTTTACCGTCCCCACCGTTTTTTGCCTTTTCCAGAATGTCACATAATTGGAATCATACAGTATGTAGTATTCTCAGATTGGCTTCTTTCACTTCGTAATGCACATTTAGGTGCCTCTATGTCTTTTTATGGCCTGATAGCTCATTACTTTTTAGCACTGAAGGATATTCTGTTGTTTAGATGTACCTCAGTTTGTTTATCCGTTCACCTGCTGAAGGACATTGTGGTTCCTTCCAAATTGTGGCAGTTATAAATAAAACTTCTCTAAACATCAGTGTGCAGGTGTCCGTGTGCATGTTACTTTTCAGTTCCTTTGGGTAAAATACCAAGGAGCATGGTTACTGAAAACATACTGGTAAGAGTATGTTTTGTAAGAAACCTCCAAACTGCCTTCCAGATGGCCGCACCATTTTGCATTCCCACCAGCAGTGAAGGAGAGTTCCTATTGCACCACATCCTGCCAGCAGGTGTTCTGGATTTTGGCCTTTGGTCATTCCTTCTAATAGGTGTGCTGTGGTAGCTGATTTAATTTGCATTTCCCTGCTGACATGATGGGCATCTTTTCATTGCTTATTTGTCTTCTGTAAATCTTATTTGGTGAGGTTTTCATTAAGGTCTTTGGCCCATTTCTTAATTTTTAAATTTAATTTAAATTTGTTTTCTTACTGTTGAGTTCTAAGTGGTCCTTGTATATCTTGGATGACAGTCCTTTATCAGATGTATCTCTTGCAGATATTTTCTCCCAATCTGGCTTTGTCTTTCACAAACGATAAACCAGAAGTTTATCGTTTTAATGAAGTGCAGCTTATCAATTCTTTCTTTCATGGGGCTGTGTCTTTTGGTGTTGTATCTGAAAAGTCATTGCCATACCCAAGGTAGCTGTTGGTCCTTTAAATTGCTCCCAGTTTTCCCTTTTTTTAATTATGTGCGTGTGTGTTTGTTTTTTCACTTTGGCTGTGAGGTCTGCCATGTCTGTGTCCTAATGTCCTGTTCTTTTTGTTTTGTGGACACCAGGTCTCCACCATGTTGATGCCAAAACCATGTGTGGGTTGGGAGTTTTGTTTGTTTTTTGTTTTTTTTCTTTTTAAATAGTCTCTCTTCTGTTTTGCTTCCCTCCAAATGACTTGTTTGTTTCATTCGCTCCCATTGGGGGCTTTTTAAAAGGAGTTGGGGGCCTCCAGATTCAAGAATCTATGGTTTGTTGTTGGTGGGCTTTTTTGTTTGTTGTTTTTTTTTAATTAAAGAATCCATAGGTCCTTGCTTTGAGGCCTCCGAGTCTCATGCGTGCCTCCCTGTTGACTTTGCTCTATCCCTCTGTTTCCAGTACAGTGCAAGCCCATGCCCTCCTCTGCCTGGATTGCAGTGAGAGCCCTTGGTTCTGTTGCTCCAGAAAGGCCCCTTGACTCCTGCAGGGCTGAGCGTGAGCACTTGGTCATGGTCAGACCCCACCAAAATTATCTTCTCCCACCCCCACCCCCCCAGCTTTTCTCTTTGTCCTTTTGAGTCAGTCATCACTTTTATTTATTTATTGTTAGTGATTTTAGGAGTAAACTGAGATGAGTATATGTGTTCATTTCATTCTGTCTTCCATAATTTAGCCTTTATATTTGGGAAAATTGGCTGTTTGCAGAAAAGGAAATGTCATAATAAAGATCTTTTTAAGTTTTAATTTTACAAATAGTATTCAAAACCAAAAATAATTTCAAAGTGTCAAAAGTGCACTGAAGCCTGTGGAAAGGGGTCCACTGGGCACACCTAGGACTATTTGAGCATCTAATTCACAATAGGGTGGCTGGTTCTGACCCACTGAGTAACCTGGGAATACATGAGTTTACACCCTATCAGTACACGGAGAATGGAATGGTGGTTCCTTGCAGTAGAATGGTAACTAAGCACTGGAAGGAATGACTAAGTAGAAAATCACCATTTGACAGTCCTTATGGCAGTAATTCCGCCGGGAGATGTTGGAGTGCTGAAGCCAGAGGGTAGAGGTTGGATGCGCGTACTCACCCAGTGCTCTCTGATGACTAAGGCAGAAAGTAACGTACAGTGGAGACCTGTCGACTTCACCTGAGCCTGTCATCAGAGGTGATGTGGTGTGGTGGGGATCTGGGGCACACCCCCCATGCGGGGTGCAGTGGGGCCTGCCTGTGGTGGGTGCATATCTGTGTCCTCCATGGAACTGGCCCCTGACCCCAGCAGTGTCCGTCCAAAGTCTAAAGACTGGGGAGCTCATGGTGTGCAGGGCAAGGCCCCTTCCACCAGCACCCTCCCAGTGGTCAGGTATGAGCAGCTCCCCGCCTGCTTAGAACAAGCTGTTTTTGGTTCAGTTGGTTTTCTGTCAACAAAGTTTTTTCCAGTTGAAGGTTGCCCAGCCCTCCACAGCTTGGCTTCACCTCAAGGTGCTAAAAGTCCAGGTTCCTAAGCAATCAGCATTTGAGAAAGTGACTGTTTGTCCCTAAGGCCTTTTTGGAAATAAAAAAAAATTGAAGAATCAAAGTACTAAGCATGGAGAAGCCAGGCCTGAGCAGTTCTGGTCATTTGGGGGCATTTAGAATAGGAGATCCTCTCTTCCATGAGCCCCACTCCCCCACAGCTATAGTCAGTTGTCCCTTCCTGCAAATCTGGGTGTCTGGGGCCAGGCTCTAAACTTAGTCCCAGCCAGCTCCATGGTGTCCCAGTGTTACTGCTCTCCTGAGGGAGGGGAGCCTGGGGGGAGCTCAGGCAAAGCATGCACATTCTCATGCAATTATGTTGCTGCACCACGTGGACTTCCTCCTCTCTGGCACAGTGTTGACCACAGCTCACAGGGAAGTACCCCCCTGACAGGCTCCCCAGGGCCACTGCTGTGGCCTCATTCTTGGACTGAATGCTGTGGTGTGCTGGCCTAGAGCCCAGGTTTTCCCATTCCCCAAGTCCTGCCTGCAAGGAGCTAAGCGCTCAGCATGTTAGTAAAGGTTGGCTTTTGGTTTCTGCCATGGGCTCTCCCAGCTGCTCATGCACTGGTTGTCTTAACATTAGACTGTTTCACTGAAACGTGGGGCAGTTGGGAGACATGGTGGAGTCTTGGAGTGGTTATTTCTGGTCCCATGAAAAGTTCTACTTTAGATTGTGGAGGATCTAGCATTCATTTGAAAGCCACACCTCCTCACACGTGTTGGACATTGTGCCCCACAGTGGCAGGTTGAAGGACTTAGAGGTAAGTCGCCCTGTGGCCTTGGGTGTCACTTTCTGAGACAGCGTCAGTGGCTGGTTCAAATTCCGATTAGCCCTGTTCCTAAGAGTCCCGTATTCTTCCTTTTAAGGGTGATCTGAGGGCTCAAGAGACAGGTGGGGAGGATTCTTTTTCTTTTGCTTGGGAGCAGGAATTTTGTCAGCTTATGCCTTGTGAAGTTTTCAGGAGAGAGCAGGATGTGTGTCTGTCTGTGGGTGGTCTCCGAGTTGCTCCTGTTCTGCTGGCCCTGGGCAACACAGAGAGACCTGGGACTCCTTGTCTCTGCAGGTTTCTCTGGCCATTGTTGCTCCCACCAGTCTACAGCATGGGGAATATCTTTGCGAACCTCTTCAAGGGCCTTTTTGGCAAGAAAGAAATGCGCATTCTTATGGTGGGCCTGGATGCTGCGGGAAAGACCACCATCCTGTACAAGCTGAAGCTGGGTGAAATTGTGACCACCATTCCCACAATAGGTGAGGAGACTGGGTCTTGGGAGGCTGAGGGGGCAGCAGGTGCTCTGTGGAGGGGCTCACCCTGGGCCTTGCTCTTCCAGGCTTCAACGTGGAGACTGTGGAGTACAAGAACATCAGCTTCACCGTGTGGGACGTGGGCGGCCAGGACAAGATCCGGCCTCTGTGGCGCCACTACTTCCAGAACACACAAGGTGAGTGGGGGCCACTCATCACACCCTTCAGGAGGGGGTCCGTGGCCTGTGGGAGAGTCAGGGGTGTTCTCAGTGCCTGCACTGCTGACTGCCGTTCCCTTGCAGGTCTCATCTTTGTGGTTGACAGCAATGACAGAGAGCGTGTGAACGAGGCCCGCGAGGAGCTCATGAGGATGCTGGCAGAAGATGAGCTCAGGGACGCAGTTCTGCTCGTGTTTGCTAACAAACAGGTACACGTGACTGAGCCACCCTGTGTGCTGGCGGTGAGCTCATGCCAGGCAGCTGGCCTCTTGGGGCTGGGGGTCTGAGGACGGGGGTCACAGTTTGGGTGGAGAGGGTTCGTGCAGTCTGCTTGACGCATGGCCGCTGTGCTTTCCCCCCACCAGGACCTCCCCAATGCCATGAATGCAGCCGAGATCACGGACAAGCTGGGCCTACACTCTCTGCGCCACAGGAACTGGTACATTCAGGCCACCTGTGCCACCAGCGGGGACGGGCTCTATGAGGGACTGGACTGGCTGTCCAATCAGCTCCGGAACCAGAAGTGAGCTGTGCTCCTCTCTCCTCCCCTCTCACTCCCTCCTTCTACCCTCGCTTTACTCTCATGTGGCAAACGTGCCCCTGTGGTGTGAGTGCCAGAAGCTGTCTCCATGGTTGGTCACAGTGTGCTTCACCATGCTGTAAATGTGCAGACGCAGCCTGCAACTGGGTTTTTATTTAATGTAAATAGTTTTTGTTTCCAATGAGGCAGTTTCTGGTACTCCTATGCAATATTACTCAGCTTTTTTTATTGTAAAGAAAATCAACCCACTGTTTAGTACTGAGAAGGGATTTTAGGCACACGGGTCATCCAGGAGTCGCTGTTTCAGACGAGCCCAATGCTCCTCCTCTGGGCTTTAGATCTGTGTTGAGATCCATTTTGGTGGTTGGTTTTTAACCCAAACTCAGTGCATTTTTTAAAATAGTTACAAATACAAGATAAGGAGAACACTTGAACACACAGAAGGGAGAAATGTGCCTAGTGTAGGTTCTGCAGTAATGGCCTGAGCCCAGTCCACCAGTGGTCTTTTTCCCCTTGGGAACATGAAACGGGGCAGAACCAGCCATGATCCATTCTGCATGGTCACAATAGGGTCCCTGTGATTCGCTCTGTCTCGGGTCACCCCACACCCCATAGCGTTTGTGCTTGTGTTTGTGCTTACACAGCGGCCCAGGAGATGGGCTGGAGGCTGCAGCCCCCGCTCTCAGACCCCCTGGAGAGACCCCGGCCTTCTCTTGGGTCAGCACGGGCACTTGGGTCAGAACGCTCTCGCTGGCCTGCCCTGGGCCCTCTGGGGTCTCACCAGCAGGAGCGTGGGCAGTCACCCTAGAGCCCCAGCCCCTCAGAGCCCCTGTCTACATGTGCTTTCACCCCCTCAGCCTGCAAGGGTCGGATTTGCCATTGAAAATGAGAACCTCTACTTTTTTCTTTTGTATTTTGATAAACACTGAAGAAGCTGGAGCTGTTAAACTTTATCTTGGGGAAAACCTCAGAACTGGTTTATTTGGTGTCGTGGAACCTCTTACTGCTTTCAATACACGATTAGTAATCAACTGTTTTGTATACTTGTTTTCAGTTTTCATTTCGACAAACAAGCACTGTAATTACAGCTATTAGAATAAAATCTCTTAACTATTTCATGGCTCTCCCATGTTTGGGTGCCCCTGACTGACAGCCTGCCTCCTGGGAGGTGGGCAGGGACAGCCACTTACTTGACTTAGGGCAGCCGACCCCTGACCTGATGCCTCATTCCCTCCCTCTGCCCACTCCTTCCCTGGGCCAGCAGCATCAGATCTTCATTCTTCCCATGGGAAGGAGTGGGTATGTGCTAGCACCCTTGCGGTGACCCCCTTCCTCACTGGTCTCCTTGTTGGCAGTTCAGCCCCCTGGGCCCAGTCTTGGGAATGCCAGGTCGTGAGAGGTTCAGCAGGGTTACCACATGGGGTATGCCCGAGAGGCCAGGGCCAGGGGTGGTGTGTGGAGGAGGGCCCCCCCGCCCCTTCCTAATATCCACCCTTTGTGATACCCCTTGGCCAAGCTCCACGTCACTGCCAGTGATCAACCTCGCTGGGTGCTTTATTGTCCCTGTGCTGTGGACCCCCTCCCACTTTGGGGGGAGGTTGTCCCTCTGACCTGGAGCCCTTCTTGGCACCCCTACTGGGTGGCGACTGGCAGGCCAAGGTCTAGGTGTCCTGCCCCTAGGAGGTAGACTGCTCCACCCTAGATAACAATCTCCTCTAACAGGTTGAAAACCAGTGCCGGTGCTCTGAAGACAGAATTGCCTTCAGTTCTCAATTCTTTTAGTATCAGAGGCAAAACAAGAAAACTCATAATAGTGAATCCAGCCTGGGTTTTGTCTTTATTCCAGTGTGGTTGTAAAATGGTTAAGTTTTCATTTTTTTCTGTGGATGGTTGTATCTTTGCCTTCCAGCCTTGGAGATAGGCCAAGTGGAAGGAGCCAGTGCCTTTACAGCATGCAAAAGGGGTAGGTATGGGACAGCGGTTAGATCACTTGGTGGCCTGGGGAGAGATGGGTGGCTCCAGCCATAAGTTTAAGTCCACCTCCCAATGATCTAAGTGCCCAGGCCAGTGCAGGCCACCCCTCTTAGTATACTCATCCACTTGAAGCTGAGCACCTTTTGGTCCCACTGCCCTCCCTGCAGGCCACACATGACCTAGGGTTCTTGGTACACCTGAAGTTGATGCAGGGGCCAGGGCCACATGGGACCCTAGGATGCTGACCACCAAAAGGACAGTGCCCCCTCCCAGTGGAGTTGCAGGTAATCTTGCTGGGACCCAAGAGATTCACCACATTTTCATACATCACTTTCTACTGTGACATGTGACAGCAACTTTCCCTTTAGTATGAGATGCTTTCCACTTAAAATAAGTTTATTTAAGTACAAAGAGTGAGTCAATACAAAGAAAAGAGGAAGTAGCCGTACTTGGCCACAGCTAACCCCCTCTGGGGGCCTGGGATGACCCCCACAGGCCAGCCCTCCAGATCCCTTGGCTTCAGTCGCTGTCGTGCCGGCGCTTCCTCTTGCAGCAAGGCGAGGAGTCAGAGTCATGCCTAGGGAGACCAGGGGACACCTGCTTTGAGATCCTCTGCCTGCCTCGCACTCCTCCCTCCACCCCTAGGCAGCTGCACCTACTGAGTGGAAGCAGAAGGCAGTGAGGAATCTGGTCCCCTCCCATGCTCCTTTTCTTTCTTCTTCTTCTCTTTCTTGTGCCTCTTCTTCTTTTTCTTCTCTTTCCTGCTCTTCTTGTGGCTTTCAGGGCTGCAAGGGGGATGGATACACAGTGACGATAGCCACTGGGGCTTTGAGAGCCTAGCACAGGTGGGGCCACAGCAGTAGCTACTGACCACATGTAGCCATTTCAACTTCAAGTCACTAAGGGAAACTACTCAGTACCATGTGTGGCCAGTGGCTACCATGGTGGGCAGCACAGACACACCCAACTGTAGCAGAAAGGTCTACAGGGCAATACCTGACAATCTCATGGCCCCTTCCAGGCCTCCCACTGGGATGCCCCTGGCACCTATGGGGCAAAGTGGTGGTCCCCTCATGTGACCCCTAAACACCCCCTGTGCAAGTGGCCCATATCCGAACATCCTCCAGGGCCCCTGACCCAGCTGAGGGTCAGCGGGCACTTGTAGGACCGCCCCAGGGCTCACGACCATGAGAAGCTCCCCAGAAGAAAAAGGGAGCTGAAGCTGGGAACCTCACTGACTGAGGGAAGTAGCCAACATGCAGAGAGAACTGAGTTCTGTGCTCCCAGGGTGGAGTGAGGGGCCCTTAGCCAGCCCTTACCTGGGCTCCACCTCCTCTGAACGAGGCTTCCTCTTGGCAGAAGCTAGGGAAGCCGCCCCTGGCCGACTGCTCTCCACGCGGTGGTGCTGGAGAGAGAGGCCACTCTGGGGGCGTGCGGGATACCCCGGCATGCCCATGCCAACAGGGAAGAACCAGTCAGAAAGCTGGGAAGGTTCCCCCAACGGGAGACGGCCTGCCCCGTGGCCCTCAACAGGAAGAGGCACTCAGACTGCCTCCACCCCCACCATGGGATCCCAGAATGGGGGGATTACCGTGAACACCGAAAGCCCCAGTTTAGCGGCCTCTTTGTCTTCCCGGGACAGCGCCACTCGCCCTGCAGAGCCACTGCGGGGATGCGGGTGAAACCACCCTACAGTGAGAGCCCACCCCCGTGGCGAGGCCTGCCCCCCCACCCCAAATCCCCGCAACTCTCGCCTCCCTAGAGGTGGTGCGCCCGGTTGAAAATTCGTGCCGGTTACCACCTGGGCGGCTGACGGTGCGAAGACCCAAGGAACTGCACCCTCGCGATTTCTGAAGCCCCGGAAGACCGGCCCCGGCCCCGCACCTGGAGCTCCCCAGGCCCAGGAGCCGGTCTACTCCCTTCTCAGGGTCACCGCCTTCCCGCTTACAGACCTCGACAAAGTCCTGTGGGGGGTGAGGAGGGAGTGCAAGCGCTCGCCGCAGCGCGAGGTCAGCCCCCGCCCCAACCCGCTCCCGCCCTCCAGGTGGATCCATCTCACCTCCTTGCTCAGGCCTGTGGGCTGCTTCCTTACGTTCTTGTAGCCTCTGCGGGGGCCGCGCGCGAGCTTCAGGGAGCGGCGGGCCTCGCCTCGGCCCCCGCCCCCACCACCCCCGGTCCCCGACCTCCCCGGCGCGCCCCCATCCCCCAAACCCCGAGGCGCACTCACAGCGCTGCCATGAGCGCCTCCTGCTCCGCCTGCCTCACTGCCGCCAGCTCCTGCTCCCGGCTCAGCCCCGCTCCGTGCGCCCGGCCCTTGGCATACCAGGTGAGGTCACGGCCTTTCTGCCAGCGGCCCACCGGGGCCATGAGCGAGTTTCCTGCGGGGAACGGAGCGCTGAGTTCTCGGCACGGCCCAAGGGCTGGCGCACCGTAGCCCGCGAGCCCCCAGTCCCCGTGCCCCGCTCACCCAGGTAGTTCTCCCTCTGTTTGTCAGTCTTCACATCCTCCCAGCTGAACTGGTCCTGCCCGCCGCGCACGCCGCCCCGGCTGGAGCCGAACATGGTACCGGGCTGCCCTCTATCCCCGGGATTCCCAGTACCCAGGCCCCACCGGTCCCCGCTCCTACTCCCGCGTCGCGAGCAGTGACGTCACGCCCGCGCCACCACCCCCCCGCGCGCCTGCGCACTGTTCCTCGCGCGCTTGCGCCCTACCCGGTTCCGTCCTTCAGCGCCTGCACACTAGCCGGGTACACGCAGTGGCACAGACAAGGGTTAGGCGGCTGGACTCAAGCGCCCCATTAGCACGACAGCCGTTATTGTAAGTCACATTGTGTGGGTGATGCCCCAAAGTCACCTTTCCCAGTGTGTGCCGCGTTCCTGGGGCTGTGCTGGAAGAGGGGAGGGCACTGGGGAAACGGTGTCTGCAAACCTGGCCTAAGGATTCCGACTATAGCTGCTCCAGGTTTCTTTCTATCCGGTAGCGGACTGCCCTGGAGAGAGCATTCAAGGTCAAGACGCGTTTGTACCGTTCAGCTGCCACCCTAGGGGATACCGGCTGTGTCCAGTTCCTAAAGGAGCACGCAAGCACACCTCATCGCACATGTTCCCCAGGCAGAGCAGAGAACGCCTCGGTCATCTCGGGTTGGCAGAGCTCCTCTGCTGCTGTCAGCTGATGGTTCAGTATACAAAGTAAAGTGAGCTGCTTACTGGGCAAGTGTGTTCCGTTTATCACTACGGCGGACGACTAGACTCGGTGGCAACACTTCTCGTGAGCAGGGTGCAGCCATTGGCCAACCCCCGCTGAATTGAAACCTTAGGGTGAACAAGTGTTTTCTGAGGGATTTACAAAAGGTGTCATGTATGTCATTTGTATGCCCTTTGTACCGGACACTGCCCTCCTGTAGGTTGCTCAGTGAGTTCACCTGATGGACTGCCAAGGAGGGAAATGAACAGAGGCCCTTCACCTGGCTCTCTTCTGAACCGGCTTTCTGGGGCACTCTCACTTGCCACCGCTAGGGGGCGCGCTTGAGCACGCAAGGAGGCTGGTAGGGCCTAGAGTGCAGAGGCCCAGGCGTGGTGGACGTCCCTGTGTACCTGCACAGTGCTGGTGTGGTGAGCAGACCAGAAGGGGGCGGGGAGGGGGCCCTGCTAAAGAGGAGTCCAAAGGTGAGTGCTCAGTCCAGCATCCTTCCCCGGAACAGATGCAGGGTTCCTCTCCCACAGGCTGCTGGCTCCTGCCCTCCAGGTGATGCCCAGAGCACCTTCTCCGTATCAATTATATGGCAGTGCTCTATGACTCAGGTTTATGAGAGAGAGCATGACAGCCAGGGTCCTTTGATGGAACCCCAGGATCTAACAAGATGCAGCCCCAGGCCTGGGCCAGGTCAGCTGCACTTAAAAAAGGTTGGGAATTGTCCTGAAACCAACCCCTGGAGCAGAAAGGCAGCAGTTGACCAAAAGGCCTAGCAGACTGTAACTTGAATGCACTACAGAACCTAGTGGAGTTAACAAAGGAGGCTGGCCACTCCTCTTGGCCTGCTGAATGCCAGGTAGGGCTGAGGGAGCCCTAGGAAGGGGCAGGGCAGACCAGTGCAGGCTGGGTGCAGATATCCTTGGATCCTAGACACCCTATTCCTCCCCCTGCTCTTGGTGGCCACTGTGCTCCCCCAGGAGAGTCCCTGGTATCCCTGAGGCTGAAGACAACACTAAGATCAAGGAGGCTCCAGGACCCAGAGGGACAGGCTCAGCAGTGGCAAGGCTTCCCTGCAGCAGGAGGCGCACCCATGACCTTGATAATGTTGACAACTCACATGCCCTTTGGGCCTCATCCTAAAACTACAACTTGACCCAATTCTAAGCCCTTTAGTCAGCTCAGTTGCAGAGAAACCCTCTGGGCTGGGGCACATGAAAAGGGAAGACAAGGCAGAGATGACTTCATAAGCACATGATTTAAAGACACGATTCTTCTCCCTCCACAGGCCAGAGCAGCTACCAGGCACCATCACTTTTTGGTCCAAAACTTCTTGTACTGCTCCACATCAAAGTCGTCACTGAGCTCTGGCTCCTCCTCCTTCTCCTCTCTGAGCTGGGCCTCTCGTTTCCGGAACCGTGCACGCCTCTCCTCTGGAGACAGAGAGTCCAGGTCCACAGGCATCTGCAGAGAGGAAGGTGTGTGTACACGGCTCAGGCAGAGGGGACCAGGACGTTCTCCTGGGTCGCCACTTCACCTTGCTGTTCTCTACCACACAGTTTAGGTTTTCTGTGTTCTGTTGGGTTTTCTCTCCCTTCAACGCTTTTATTCCTTAAAAAAAAGGAAAATGAAAAAAATCTTTTCCTACTTGTTTTCCCAAGACTTGATCTTTTTCAAATACATACCTCATTGCTGCTTTCTTACCTTGGTGAGTGGAGTAAGCTCCAGGTCACCCTCCTTCTCCTCCTCAAACAATTCTGGTCCATGACTTGCCCTCCCTCCCCTGTCCAGTTTCAGTAGGTTCTGAACCCACAAGCCCCTGGAGGAGCAGTTTCTACAGACTAGGTCCACTGAGACCTGCACCCCAGGGAGTGCTGGAAAGAAACTTACTGTGAGCATCCGTCTTGGCTCCCGGTAGCGGATGTGGATGGTGGAGCCATCCTGCTTGACCAGGAGCACAGGGTAGAGGCGTGCGTAGGTCTGCCGGTGTACACGAGTGAGTGAGGCTCTGTTGCAGTCAGCCCGCCAGGAGGACACACAGAGACAGCGGCGGCTCTCGAGGGTGGCCCCTGTCACCACACGCTGCCACAGCAGGCTGCAGACATACAAGCTCTGGTCAGTGGCTGGTGCTGGGACCACAGCATTCATGTGGCCCAGCTTCTATGGGGGCCCACAGCAACCCACATCAGGGCAGGATGGGGTCAGAGCAGCTCCACTCGACATCCAGGAAGAGGCTGCAGAGGTGAGGCCACAAGGCTCTGAGATGCGTGAGGACAGAGTCTGCAGCCAGGATCCTGGCAGGTCTCTCTGGTGAGGCTTGGCCCCACAGCTATGGTACTGGACTACAGCACTGAGAGGAAAGCTGACTTCCAGGAGAATGCAAACCTGCTGCTGTGGACATTTGTGTCCACCTCTCCCCTCCCCACAACCCCGGCCTCACTCATATGAAGCCTTAACCCCCAGTGAGATGATGTCAGGAGGTGGGACCTTTGGGTGGTGATTAGGGTTAGATGAGGTCATGAGAGCGAGGTGCCCAAAGTAGGATTGGTGCCCTTATAAGAGGAAGAGACCAGAGAGCTAACTCTCTCCTCCATATGAAGACACAACGAAAAGGCAGCCATATGTGAACCAGGAAGAGAGACTTCACCAGAACCCTGCTGGCACCGAATCTCAGACTTTTAGCCTTTAGAACTGTGAGAAATAAGCTGCCTGGTTTGGTGTTCTGCAAGAGCAGCCCAAGCAGACAGACACCTGGTCCACTTGGCTTCTGAATGCACACAGCAGAGCACATGACTCAAGGTGATAGGAAAGGGCCAGCCCCTGTTCTGACCTGCTCTACCCAGCCACATGACCCAACATTTGTCTCATTTGCTTGATTTCCCTATCCCAGCCTTGCCCCGTGACCCCCAGAAATCCCTTCCAGCCTGGCTTTCATGCAAACTTGAATTCAGACCCCACAGGCTGTGCCTCAGTCCATCTGTTTCCCCACAGATTCGAGGAAGAATGTCTAAATGAGTGCCAGAATGTCCTGGAATTGTCAGGTACTCCAGAAGTGGCCTCATTCTCCCAGCATTCTTTGGAACACTTGTGGTGGACAGGCATCCTGATACTTGCCATGTGCCTTTTCCCAGCTCCCTCACTGCACCGGCAGTCACATCAACCCAGACCACACCAGCAGACTCCCATCTGGTCCCCATAACAATTCCAATTAGGTTTCCCTGCTCTGCGGGCAGTAGTTCAAAAACCCCAACATTCACATCACTTCAGTAGTTCCAGCCAAACTTTCAGGACTTCTCTCTCCACAAAGCAGCCAGCACCAGCACACATGCCATGCACAGCCACAGTACAGCAGCCCCTGCTTTGGTTGTGGTTCCCACAACCCCCCTGCACTTCCCAGCTGACACCTCAGGCTGAGGGCCCATCTCCTTCACTAGTCTGATGGCCTGGAGTAAGAACTGCATCTTATTTGCTATGAAGTCCCAGACCCTGGCTGAGTGCTCAGTAAATTTTGGCAACATGAATCCAGTCCCTGCCTTTACAAGTGCATGACCGGAGAAATGAGATGGTGGATGAGCTCCAGCACCAAAGGAACCTGCAGTCAGTTGGGCAGGGCCTGCACCTAAGCAGCACGAGGCAGCCCAGGGCGCAGCCACTCCAGAGAACCTGATGTTGGTGACTCAGGAGACTTCTGGAAGAGGGGAAAAGAGTGGATGTTCTCCCACCGTAACAGCAGTTACAATTCCACCGTGAACCCTTCCCAGCACCAGGGCCCTCCAGGGAACACTGCAGAGTCCCCTCCCCATCTTCATACTAACCTACAGCTTCAGATGCCACATCCCTCTCCCTAGATTCTGCACAAACAGTTCAAAACTTGCATTCTTTCTCTCCTCCCACAAGGGGTGGGAGGAACAGGTAGATGGGGAGGCAGTTCTGGTGGGAAGAGCAGGAAAGCCATGGTATTCTCCAGGACCCAGAGCCTAGCTGGGCTGCAGGCTCTGAATAGGACAGTGACCACCATCACATCTGTTTGGTGCTACGTACTCACAAGTCACTTCTGTTTTTCTCTCAACACTGTTGAGGTGTTCACACATATGTACTTGTGTGTATTCTCCAGATACACTGCCTCTGGAGGCTCTCCTGAGGCAGCACAGCCTAAGGCTCTTGAGTGAGCATTCTCTGGGTGGCCCCATTACAGCAGTCCCAAGAGGCCTGGAAGTCCACGCTTACCCCAGCAAGCTGCCCGTGACCGCCATCCCTCCTGAGAACCCCTGCAGCTCGTGACGGCCCAGAGTCAGTCAATAGTCCAGTGTGGAACCTGCTGGGCAAAGAAATAAAAGATCTTTTTAAAAGGCAGGCTTCTCCACCTCATTGAACCTCACCAAATCCCAGACAGAACAAAGCCGTCTCCAAGAGACATTACCAGTTCAGTGCCAGTCTCTCCCAATAACCTATCAGGGCTTCAGCCCTGACTTGGCATTAGCA